AATTCTATGAGAAATAAGCTGGTACTCTATCTCGAGAAAGGGCTTGGCTTAATTAAGTTCCCCTTGTCTTCTTTCTCCACAGATCAGAATTCAGTGGGATGACATTAAAAAAAAAAGCCAAGAAAACGGAGAAGATTATTTTTCTCTCCCAGAATTCAGTGATGTTTGAACTTAAGACTTGTTCATTATTTTTTGAAAATTTTATAGTGTTGCCTGCAGGGGTATGTAACAAATGAGTTTGATTTCGATTTGAGTAAAGTTTTATTGTGTGTACTGTTCATCTATAATAAAGAAATAGATTGAGTGATGTCGCACACGTTACACAGTGAGTCACATGTTTTGGAAGACTATTAACTATGCCACAATTAAACACATTGGCTGAGCGCAAAGGGCTACAAAATAATGATCCTTGTGACAATAATGATGAGCCACAGCCAACGCGTCACAATTAATATACACAAGTACAAAATCACAGCAATATATGAACACATTATTTACACTAACAGACACATAATTTTGTACTGTAGTATGTTTCAGTGCAGAGAAAGTGATGGGAGTTGGTTGCAAAGTTTAGCTTTTGAAATTTGATGTGATAAGGATACACACCACGCTTGCAGATCACTCACAAAAAAGGGCAATTGTACAAAAGAGGAAACGAAATACAACAACAAAATTAACATGATCACAGATGACGTCACTGGCTTCAGATGATAATTGAAAAACCATTCCAACTGGCCAATTTTAAATACAGGCTACTAAGTGTATAGGAAAAAATAACAACGCTAACTGTTACAGTCTAAACGTGAGAAAATAAATAAATAAATAGATACAAAACAAAAAGCTTGAATAAGAATTCATCATACATCATCATTCATCATACCTCATTCTTCCATTTAGTGTTAAATCATGGTTAAATTGAGGTACCCTGGATAAAAAATTAACTTTGAATGGAAAAGTACGGAACACAACATTTTGGGTGAGTTTTCAGTATTGTGTTCAGTACAAATCATAACAAAAACAATCTCTTATTTGACTTTTCCAATCCTTCGTCTTGGTTTAAGAAGAGTATCTGTAATCAAAAGAAGAATATGAAATGAGAATACCTTTCAACCTTTTTGTTGCAAATGAAACAAAAATAAATATAAGTTAAGTAATTCATGCTGGAGATTCCACTTAGGAAAATACAGTAAGCCAATAAATAGAAAGAGATTTAAGTTTCATGGGATAAAAAACCAACTTTAATCCCTCCATGACATAAAAATTTGATTGCTCGAGAAATAATCCCTGATAGATCTTGAGATGATGGCAAGGTGTTCTGAAATGAAATGTGCCTTTACCTGAATCAATTATTTCACCAAATGTATTTTGCCCACTAGCAAGTTGAGCAATTGCATCAGTACGGGTTATGGAGAATGGAGTAGAGCCGGTAAATGTGGGTTCTTTCACATTAGCTCCACAAGCTTCAAGAATTTGTTGAGATTTATAATGTTTGCGTTCAACAGCATGAAAAAGAGCTGTTCGCCCACTCTTCCCATCCTAAAAGAAAATTCAGTCCACATTCAGTCCAAATGCACAAAGTTGGAACAGAAATGCTATTATATCTTACATAATTGAAGTCATAATACTCAATGCCTCAATGAAGTCATCGTTGGTTGATTTCTGCATGAATTCCACTAACAGGGAAACTACTGCAAGAAATCCCATAAAGGCAAATAGCTGTAAGAAAGCCATGAGATAAAAAAGTTCAAGCATCTAAAAGAAAAAAGCTGATCAAAATCCTTGTGATTTACGTTAAAATTATAGACACACACAAAATGGTCACAAAAGGTTCTTTCCCTTTTGAAAGCATTTTATGTTTGTCTGGTGCAATAGTTGCTGTAGGGTTTTGCTGTATATCCCTATACCCAACAAACACTGATTCCCAGTGATGAATGACCTTGGTGTTCTCCATGGGTACTTATTTGTAACCTAACAAGAAAATGTATTCCGGTGTTCACACCAATTTCACTGGGGGAGATACACATTGCACAGGACATATGTAAACTGCGATCAACACCAGTTTTAGCAGCCCATTCTAGTTCATTCATTCTTTAAGGACACTTTCAAGTGTACAAAACCCATAAAAGAAGCAAAAATTTGCTATATATCCAGAACCTTTGAGTTACAATGCTCAGATTTTGCAAGGAGATAGGCCGCCTTTAAATCATCACTTTCTAAAAGTATGGAATTTTGAAAGATATAAATTGGTACAAACTATGGACCTCTACATTACTTGGATTTTGGACCATTTTTACAATATTTTTCGCCTTTATTCATATATTTTTGAAAATAACAAAACAAGGTTGCTGTGGGACCAAGCTCCCTGCAAAATCGGGGCGGCGTAGCTCAAACAGTTACGGAAATATAGACAGTTGCAGACCAAATTTTGGCATTTTTTATGGTTTTTTTCTCACATACAAGTAACAACAGAAACCGGTGTCAGTCCTAGTCTACAGATGTCCCGTACAATATGAATCTGTCCCCACAAATTGGTGGGTAACACCGCAACAAGTTCCCTTGGAAGTAACACACTCATCAATAATAGTTCAAAGTGTAGTACAGTGACATCACTGCTTAGGGTGATTTTTTTCCCTGCGAGTATAAATTGGAGTGTCGGAGTACTCGTCATCCTGTTCGAATGTGCCAAGAAAAAAATATATCCAAAGCTGAACACAATCGGATAATATTTAGTGGTGGCGCAACGAGGTTAAAGTTTAACACACAAGTCTTTTGGGAAATTCCATGCAAAAACGAAAATTTGCACTGGACTCCAAAATATTAGTCCTAGATCGAAAATATTTCCTAAATCGGATTGTACGTCAAAAACCGAGTTTACCGACGTGCCGTATGACCGTCTATGACCAGTCATTGCCACAGAAATATCCTCAATTTTGGCTGTTTTAGGTCAAATTTTAACAAAATGTGTGAATAATTATACGGCAATGGCTGGTCATAGACGGTCATACGGCACGTCGTTAGACTCGGTTTTTGACGTACAATCCGATTTAGGAAACATTTTTGATCTAGGACAAATATTTTGGAGTCCAGTCCAAATTTTCGTTTTTGCATGGAATTTCCCATAAGACTTGTGTGTTAAACTTTAACCTCGCTGCGCCACCACTAAATATTATTCGATTTTGTTCAGCTTTGAATATATTTTTTCTTGGCACATTCGAACAGGATGACGAGTAGACACTCCAACTCATACTTGCGGGAGAAAATATCACCCTAATCACTGCTAGTAAGTCACGCCCAAGTACAGTCAGTAGTTAGTGAAATTGTAGTACAGTAATGTAACTGCCAGATAGTCATAATGATGGATTTTTAATTGTGGAGTTTGATGTAATTTTGACATCAAATAGATAAAATATCGACTCTTTCAGGTCACCATTTTACTTAATTTAATGTCCCAAGTACATTAAAGTCCACAATCTAAAATATGTCACGGTGACTAAGTGGCAGAAATATTACTTTACTTACAATTTCACTAACTATTGATGAACCTCTGCTAATTAGGGCTGGAGAATTGGTCCTGTTAGGGAACCAACAAAACAGTCAAAAAATGCCATAAATCACATAAGATTTCTTTTTCTTTTAATTGCTGCAACACCAATCTCATGAAATTTCTTACAGCAGCCTCGCCAGAAAAATACACACTCGTAAGTGGCTTACTGATCCATCAATAATTAGCCAATTTGTAGTACAGTGATATCCTTGCAAGGATATCCTTGCAGGGAACATTTTCACGTGATAATCAGATTTTGATGACACTTTAAACTGCAATTGTTGATACCCCTACTCAAGGTTTGTCACTGGTTTAAGCTGCCAATATGTGGGTGAAAGGTCGTTTTACTGGTTTTACGCAAATTTATTAACATTTTCTTTAAATTTTTTATCTGATTATCAACTTTGCATGCACCTATCTCCGGAACCGTTTGGGCTACAGCGCTCAGATTTTGCAGGAAACCATCTTCCAGGACACTCTTTTCAATGACAAATATTTGAACAAAATCAATAGGGGTCACCAAAAGGTGTCCAGCGTCG